AGAAGGAAAATATTTTTTTACATATTGCATCATCAGAGATACAAATTTTAGGTTGTCCGTTAGGAAAATATGGCGACAATAACTGCGACAGCAACTGTGATACAACCTGTGTGTATAGCCTGTGTCATCCTAACAGCGGTCAGTGTACATGTAAGTAAATACATTTTGAGTAGATTATATAACGTTCAATACCCGAATGTAAATATTGATATATATAAAACAAATGTTAAAATTGACAAAACGCAAGTAAATTATATAAAAATGTTTCATTCACAAAAGAAGACGTTCAATTATGCACAAATGTTGTCATTGTATCAGAAACAATGCACCCGAAGAACAAATACATTGAAAACGTTGGTGTATAATTGTAACGTCGTCTTTTGTCATTTACACATTAATTTATATATTATAAGAATATTAGATAAAATCTTTCTTTGGCATACAAATTAAATCACTTCTGTTTACCATTAAATTGTTTGCTATTATTTTCTTGATCACAATATCTAATTCATAATTTCAATGAAATGCCATTGTCATGAAATTATACTAACTTTTCTAGACATGTAGCTATGTATTAAATCTGTACAATTTTATCACATTGATAATTGTAATATGATATTTTGTATTAGGAGTCATAGCTTAACACATTCATTATAATAAACAGTAAGGATTATTCATTTTTAGACTGTGCGCCAGGATCTTATAAATTTGGGCTTGTGTGTACAGCTTGTCCGACAAACTGTTTAAATGACGTGTGTAACGTGGAGTCCGGTGTTTGTTCAGGTAGGTAAAACGTCTTAATACCAGTATCTAAGATTAAAAACATACAATACTTGTTTAATGTGAATTTAAAAAACGGAATTTTCCCACCTCGCTTCACCCCAGTCAGTGGAAAACAACAGATCGACCATCGCTCGATGGTCATATAATTTAGTCTAAACAAACATGTGTGGTAGTTAACTGTTATACACAGTGGAAATAGTTAGGCCTACCGACATTTTATAACACAAACTCTGATAAGAAAACGAGCATGCATTTAATAAATATGCACGGTTACCTTGACACATCGTGTGAGAAAATCATGCCGATTTTAATGTAAATATTATTCCAGAAGGAACACGTGTGTTTAAATCATTTAAAACCACGAAAAA